AAACTTAAACTAAATTGAAATTTTCCGAATTATTAATCAAAAACTGTTAAAATTGGCGTGCATTGAAGTTTGACGATGAATATCTTTTAAACACTTTATTTAATCGACTAATCATAAGAGACCATTTTTGTAGAGCAGTTAATTTCCTACAACACCATGAATTGCGCATTTCATAATGATTTTTTGTTAACGATTTATAAAATTCATAAGCAAAACAGAAATTTGTCTTAAAATAATCAAACTTCAACCTTTAATATCTTTTAAACGGTGAGGTTTACGAAAACATTGTAAGAGACCTTTTTTGTAGGGCGTTCAATTTCCTACGAGTATGTGAGGAGAGATATTTTTAACTAACAGTTGATAGAGAGATATGAATTTTTTTTTTCTAATATTGAGGAGAAAATGGAAAACTGTAAAGCGGAGGACCTTCCTATTAAAATTAAGATCTCATATTTGGAGAGAATTTTCTAGAGGTGTCTAGCAACCTATTTTTCAGAGCATAAAGTAAAAAAAAAATTGCAGATTTTTTTTGATCCACCCTAGTACCTAAACATAAATATTCCTTACTTTTTGAAAAATACATTATATAAGTTTATTATAAGTGCGTGGTTTCAATCATTCAATGTGCATTTCAACCCCAATGCAGCCAACTTAAATTTCTAGTCAAATTTAATTTTGTGTGAGATAGCATGTTTTTCCTTAAAGATCTAAGGTAGCATGTTTTCCACACACAATTTTAGGTAGCATCTTTTTCAAGTACAATTTTAGATAGCACGTTTTCGTAGTAATGCGTCGATATGTATTTGAAGAAATAATCAGTAACTTTTTTTTACATAATTACACAACCATTGGATCCAAAAAAAAAGTGTTTATTGCAGTATGAGCACCGATTAAACTGTCATATTTCATCCTAGTAACAGCGGCTATGCCCACGACTCCCATCATGCAGACGAGACGTCAGAAGATGACGTGTCCGGACATCAGGAGTCCCCCCACGCCTCATAGGATCGAACTGAGGAACGACAGCCTAGAAGAGGGTAACTGTAAGAAGCCCCTCGTCCAGAGCTACCAGCCAGCGCCTAAGGCGAGGAGAAGGTAAAATATGTGTCCGTTAACATTGCAATAACATCCCTAACGTTACGCCGTCATTATGTGGTTTAATTGACCTGCTCGTTTATTGCACGCAGTCGTTTTAAGGTTGAACAACAACCAGCTGATAAGCCAGCCGGAGGGTAAAAATGCCGACCGAGGCAGCCACAAGCTGACCGAGTACTTCCCCGTCAGGCGATCGGCGAGGAAGACGAAGAAGACCGTGTTGGAGGAGAGGCAGAGGGACTTGGAGCAGGCACTTAGAAATAAGGTGGAGGAGGGGCTGGAAGTAAGAGATTTCTCGCTGTATCAAACTGTTAAGCGAGTAACTTTACAGAGTTTGTTTTGTCTAAAGTTATTGTGAAAACTGATGTCAATTGTTTGCAAGTTATAGCTTGTCAAAGTTCCTTTTTTTTATTTTTCTATTTAAATAACTTATTTAATTCAAGTTCGATCGGTCTCGCATTTGGCACACCCACTAAGTAGATAAATGTCTATTGGACCAGTCGGAGAAAAGTTTCATTATGCGCCGCTAGAGGGCAGTTTACCTAGAACTCAAAATTTGTTTTGTTCATAACTTTTTTCTCTTCACGGAAATTTAAACATTGTTGAAACGAGAAATAATAGAAAAAATTATTTACTCTTACTTCAAGCCGATAAATGTAACCTTTTAGGAGGAAATCGCTATTAAAGTGTTATTAAACATCAAATTTTTGATAATACGTTCTGCAATTAATCAAGTTGTAATGCTGTAATACCATCTCTTGTAAAACCATCTTTGTTTTGTTAGTAAATAAAATATTATTCGTGGCTTATTTTTTCACAACGTCATTACAGAGCCGAAAAAAAATGTATTACGGTGAAAAATTAAACATATCTGCTTTACACAATTTTTATTACATTGAGGCATGGCACCTTGATTAATTACAGAAAGAATTATCAAAAATTTGGGGGATCTGTCGAAATATTCCACTTTTTGGATGTAAGAGGGGGCAAGCAAATTTTTTCTGGATTACCTTCAGTACAACTCACATAATAAAAGTTAATACTTTTTTTTTTATTTTTAAACAATCAGATTACATTTATCAATTTACAATTTAGTTTTTTAAAAAATTGTAATATTAAGGTACTCGGAAAGACGCTTCTTTTAAAAAAAAAAAAAGAAGTTAAATTCCTACTATTTATTCTCGAGATATAACCGGTCAAAGTTTATCGGCATTTACCGTTGCTGTCGAAATATCCCACTTCTGGAATGTAAGAGAGGGCAAGCAAATTTTTGTTGGAATACCTTCAGTACAACGCACATAATAAAAGTGTAGATCCCTAGATCTGGGCGAGGTCCGGAACATTTTCAAAATTGCAAAAATGTTTAAAAATTTTTAAAAAAATACCTGTTTTATCTGAGTGTTTTAATTATATCTTGGAACCTATGCATTTTGGAAAAATATTGAAGAGGAAAAAAGTTTTAGAATTGAATTTTGCACAATATTAAAAATGTTTAATTTTATTACCGATGTTGCAAAATAGCAATAATTGATGAAAATAAGCCAAAATAATCAAGTTTTTTGGATAATTTTTTAAAAATATTTGAATTGCTTCGAAGGTATTGTAATTTTGGTAAAAAATTTTAGAGTATAATAAAACAGACTAAATTTCAGTAGTTTTAGTTTTTCGGTTTGATTAGTTTTCGCAAAATAATTTTTTGAAAAAAATTTTTGAATTTTCAAAATGTTGCACAGCCTCAAATAAAGCATTTAGATGCTTGAAAAATTTTTCACAAAAAAACACCGCTCAACTTTTCAAATAGTGTTTGAAAAATTGAAATCCGTTACATTTTTAAAGTTGTCTTTTTTTATTTTTACATTTATCAATTTACAATTTAGTTTTTTTCAAAAATTATAATTTTAAAGTACTCGGAAAGACACTTCTTTTTTAAAAAAAAAAGTTAAATTCCGTTTATTGGTTCTCAAGATATAAGCGGTCAAAGTTTATCGGTATTTACCGTTAATTTATAAACAATTTAGCAATAATCTTTGATCCAGTGGCTCCCTTTTTCCGAGTTCTAAGCTGGAAAACACTTTCATATCCATAAGTTATCGGCAACATAGATGAATCAGCGGAAAAGCTATCGCTCGCACGCGTGAAAGGTGATTCAAAACACGAAAAGTGGGGGAGGGGGCTTTCGCTCCGAGACTGAATTCGGAGGTTCAAAATGCGAAGGTACGAAAAAAATTGCATTATCTCGGCTTCTAATGGACCAATTTCGATCTTTTTTTTTTAATCCGATGTCTCGCCAGCCAAGGAATTTGAATATCGTAATGCCAACTGTCTAATTTGCACATATTTTGTTATAAACAAAGTTTATTATTTATGCGTTAAATATACTGTATATTTACTAGTGCTGGCAAAAACTGGAAAAAAGTGAAACCAGTTAACCGGGTTCCATAAAAACCGATTTCAGATAAAACCGGTTAGTCGAATAATTGCTAAAACCGGTTATTCGAATAACCCGTTACTTGAATCGCCAAAACCGGATATCTGAAATTTGGTGCCTTACAAAGACAGACCCGGAGAAATTGTCCAAAAATCTGGAAGTCAAATTTGCTTACGAAGAAATCGATCTCCTAAAAAATCAATTGCAATCGGACAAATCGATGTCTAAAAAAAAAAGGAAGTAGATCATCGAATAATCGGTTATTTGAATAATCGGATATTTGAAGATTCGAATAACCGGTTTTCGGATATTTGAAGAATCGAATAACCGAATAACCGGTTTTCGGATTTCATAAAAATCCGAATTATCCGAAACCGGTTAACCGACTATCCAAAAAACCGGTTTCAGTTGCCAGCACTAATATTTACCGTATGCTATTGCATTTGTATCAATGAAAAAATTTGTATACATATATATTTTAACACTGAATATGAATTACTTAGATATAATTATTACAATTATTTAAATAATTTTTGGTTAAACAAAAATTATTTGGAAATTAATTTTTTTGTTAAATACTGATAAAATTAAGAAAAATTGGTACTTTAAAATTATAATATTTGAAAAAACTAAATTGCAAATTGAATGTAATCTAATTGTTTAAAATTAAAAAAAAGGGTGTTAACTTCAAAAATTTATTGTGGCCATCCTAATCAACCGATTTCAATTTTTCAAAAACCATTTGAAAGGTTGAGCGATCTTTTCTATGTGAAAAAATTTTTCTAGTATTTAAATGCTTTATTTGAGGCTGTGCAACATTTTGAAAATTCGAAAAAAGAATTTTTTTTTAATTATTTTGCGAAAACTATCGAACCGATTTTAATGAATTTTGGTGTGTTGTTTTATTATACTCTAAAAGTTTTTTTTACCAAAATTAGAATGCTCTCAGAGCAATTAAAATATTTTAGAAAAATTATCCAAAAAAACTTGATTATTTTGCCTTTTTTTCATCAACTATTGCTATTTTGCAACATCGGTAATAAATTTAAACATTTTTAACACAGTATACTGTGCAAAATTCAATTCTAAAACTCTTTTTCCTCAATATTCTTCCAAAATGCATAGGTTCCAAGATATAAACAAAAAACTCAGATAAAATAGGTATTTTTTAAATTTTTTAAACATTTTTGCAAAATTTAAATTGTTCCTGACCTCGTCCAGATCTACACTTCTATTATGTGAGTTGTACTGAAGGTAATCCAGAAAAAATTAACTTGCCCCCTCTCACACCCACCTCAAAACAGATCTGCCTTGATCTATAACACATTAATGGCGATTTCCTGGTAAGCGGTTACATTTATCGGCATGAACGAAGAGGACATAATTTTTTCTGATATTGTTTCTCTTTTCAATAATGTCTAAATTTCTGTGATGTCTAGCGAGAGGAAAAAGTTATGAACAAAACAAATTTTGAGTTCTAGGTAAAGTGCCCTCTAACGGCGCATAATGAAACTTTTCTCTGACTGGTTCAATAGAGCTTCATCTACTTAATGGGTGTGCCAAATGAGAGACTAATAGAACTTGAATTAAATAAGTTATTTAAATAGATAATTAAAAAAATTGAAGTTTGACAAACTGTAACCTGCAAACAATTGACAATTCGAAAAAAATTTTCATTGCATACTGCTATTGTTTTAATCCGTAGAATCACCCCCCGAAGTTTCCTTGACGGACTTTCAGAACACCCTCTATTTTTCATATCGCACAGAAATTTAACAGTGAAGTCACAAATACTCTGTACCGTCACTAAATACTGAAATAAGCATAAGGTTATACACATTAGAAGTCGGTTGGAGTGGTTTCGATCTTTTCTCCCTAATTTTTGACACTCGGATAATATTTTATAAATCTTCCAAAGATATTATTTTTTAAAAAACATTTAGACGTCAAAAAAATATGGTGACTTTAAAATAACACGTCGTAAAGTCATAGACATGCTTTTACAAAATTATTTTAAACCACACATTGTATTGGCATAAAATAATCACTCTTCTGTTCGGTTTAGGTTAGATATTTCGATGGTAAAGGCAGGGGTGTGGTTGCGGCGAAAGATTTCAGTAGGGGCGATTTCGTCGTGGAGTATAGCGGAGACCTCATAGACACGATCGAGGCCAAGGTACGAGAGGAAAGGTATGCCCAAGACCAGAATGCAGGCTGTTACATGTATTATTTTAAGTACAACGGACAACAGTATTGGTGAGTTTATCCGCATTTTTCATCCATTCTCTGCTTATTATGAAATGATAACCGCTACCTAAGTTTTTATGTGGTCCAAGTTAATACTCATTAATAATTTTACTTATTTTTTTCATTAAATATAATGGCATTTTTGTAAAAAGGCACCAAAAATTAGGAGGTTATTAATCCTTCAAAGAAATATCTTGTCACTCTAACGTCATCCTTGACAAATATGGCTTTAAATAATAAAATTATTTGACATACCTGATGTTACATCTGTTCAAAATTTTGTCCACCGACCTGTAAACACAATTGGGTCCGTCTTACTCAGTTTCTATGAACTAACACCTTGTCTTGCCATAACACAAATGTTGTCTTGCTTCACCATAAATTAAAACGATATCCATCAACTCCGAGTTGCTATACATGCAAGCCATTTTTGACACTAACTACTAAAAAACTTTTGTAAACACTATCGCAACGACGATTGTAAAATCGGATTTCAGTACTCAGGAGTCGCTGAGACCACATGGCTCTCCATGCGTACTGTGAACGACACTAGAGACTGCAGTTGTCCAGCTATGTAATGATTGAAAGTACTACAACTTCAATAGTTTTTTCTGGGAAACTATAAGGATTTTACAAAAAATTCTTGCCTAACCTCAAAAAAAGATCCATTACTTTCCAATAGCGTGGGTCAGGGATTTGGCTGTTGTTGCAGCCGTTCTCAAGTTAAAAAAAGTAAAATATTTAACTAAAAAAGAGATAAGGCAAAATATTTATTAAATAGTAACTCTGAATTATGTAATTCTGCTAATACCACCAGGTATTTTTAAGAGAAATAAACAAACAGTCTTAATCTTATGCAATTGTAGGAAAAGTTCTGAAATACAAGGACCATGTGATAAGTTTGGAATACGAGGGATGTACGATTATTTCTAAGACGTTTTCTACAGCTCCTCATGATAAATTTTATATTTAGGATAACCTCCAAATTTTCCGTCCTCTTCCTCTTGTATCCCGTCTTACCTTATACCCTCCCATATTCCCTGTTACTGCCTGCATGTTCCGTATGAAATTTACCGACTGCTGGAAAATTCGGCAGTTTTGTCAAACCCCTTGTTCATCTTTGCATTTTTCTTACGACCGTTTTTCTTAAAGCATCGACGCAACGGCCGAATCCGTCAGGCTGGGCAGGTTGGTCAACCATTCCCGGAACGGCAACCTCCTGACGAGGACCATATCCGTGGACGGCAAACCCAGACTAGTACTTATAGCCAAAGATGACATAAAGATGGGAGAAGAAATACTCTACGATTACGGGGACAGGTCCAAGGAATCTCTGAAACACCACCCCTGGTTGGCGTACTAGGGGGCGTAAATTAAATATGGCGGTGTGGGCGACGAGTATTTTTTGTACTAGTATTTTTATTTGAGGTTATGTTAGTGTTTGGTGCGGCTGCTATGCATTTAAAGAGAGAAAAGCTCGGAGTGTACCTGATTTGATGAAATTTTGAAAAAACATATTGATCGTAACTTCTAAAATTTATCATGCGGGGTTTTAAGTGTGGCGAGGTGCGGGTCTTTGTGTGGTTTTCAGTCGGAAGGTTTATATAAACATGGGTCTACAAAAAAAAATCATTTCTAAAATGTTCCCGAGGATGTTTGATGCAGAATTACGAAACGTAGGCTAATGATTTATCTAATTAACGGTAAAAATTCAACGAATTTGGATATAAATATTTGTACAAGTGGCAAAGGTACCGCGGGTAACTTTCAGTAAAAAAAAAATAATAATTTTTTTTGCGAAGCGAGTAGTTCTGGAGTTGCTAATGTTAATAAAAATTGTAAATGGTTCGTTTTTCAAATAAACGAGAAATATCCAGTGGCGTCGAATTTCTTGCGTTTTTTAGCGAAAATAACTTCGGTGTCTCCGCCACTGGTATCTATGTGCAAATAGAGTGGATTATCACCTTTAATTTGATAGATGATTAGCCTAAGTTTCGTCAATCTATAACAAACATGTTCAGAGATATTTTAGAGGCGACATTTTTTTTTAATTTAAACCCCCCGTATGTCGAAACTTATCAATTTGAGGACCTAAGTTTACATAACCTTTTCGGTTTAACATCACTCAAAGTGCTACCTCTTAAAATTCGCCTACATACATAAATTAACACTCTGCGTTCCAAATACGTGTAGTGCAAATTTTTAACGAAGCCATTTACTTATTGTTCTAGTAAATCTGTTACAATGTAATTGAATTTTGTTCCCAAGTTACGTCGACGCAAAGAATCGCGTTTCAGTTAACTCGTTTCGTAAGGTTCAACGTCGTAATACTTTGGGTGTCGATGTGTCTTGTCGAGTTATTGTAGTACAAATTTTGAAACATTTTTAGTATATTCGATTGTAATTTCCACGTTTAAGACTGACGGAGGTGTGCCTTGCTCGTTGAGAGGTTTTTAAAGTACATCTTACAAGAGTTCGTAAGCAGCGACGGTACTGCCGCAATGATTTTGTTACCTGACGATCCTCCGTGTTTAATCGGAAGTGGAATCGATGCTCGGTTGCAATTTTCAGACGTTTTATTTCGTAATCCTGTAGCTTCAGATAATTTTAAACTCGTAATAATCAATCAGAAGCGGTTTTGTAGATTTAATTTTGCCCTCGCTGTCAAGGGAGCTGTCTGGTCTAGGTTTCTGTATTTATTACTTAGTTTTAAAGTAGCACATTTGTATTATACATCGTATCAATAAAGAATTACACTGCCTTTTAAGGTGTTTTTATGTCCTGAATAGCGCATGCCTCTAAATAACAGATATTTTAGCTTTCTCGGGATTGTACTGTGTACTTTTCTTAATATTACTGTCTGTTAATAAGGGAAGAAGGCATTCGATGTGAGATAGACTAGACTACCATACCGAAACGCTTTAGGGGTTGTTGAATCCGGATCTGGTTTCCGTTCAATTAAATTAGGGTCATTTGGTGGTCGATTCTCGTTTTCGTTTATGATAATACAATTTATGATCACAGATTCTGCGTTTATCATTTTATTATGAAAAGAAAAAAATAATTGTACATACAGGGTGTCGCGCTTAAATGTGATACATTCCTGTAGCTTCTTTGTTTTTTGACCACTTCAACATTTTTTTTTTTAGAATGTAGGATAAAAAACTGTATGTGTTGTTGTTGTTTTTTTTTTTGTGCTTTTCGTGGCCCTGTGGGACGTTTTTTTTTGATCTCAACAGTTTTTGTTTTTTTTTTTTTCAATATAGATTTTGTGTTTTTTTTTTGCGTCTCTTTTAACGTGTCTCTCCCCGTGTCTTCTCATTTTCTATATCTTTTGAGGCGCGCTCTTTTTGCGTTTTTTTGCTTTATTAGGAACCGGGGTTTTCCCGTTGGGTTGTTTTTTTACCTTACATTTCATAAAAAAAAATTTTTAATCGGGTAAAAAATAAAGAAGTTACAGCCTTGTATTACTTTTCGCCTGAAGATGTATCGATTTTGATGAAACTTGGTAGTAAGACGTTTTAAGGAATGGCGAATGAAAGTACGCGATCTGTTTTTTGGAAAAAAATCACTAATACCAATCAGCTGTTTTGATGTCGAGAAAACGTGTCCTAGTTGGCCGTGAATTGCATTAATAAAAATGGCAGTATCACAGTTAGGTAGTTTTTTTTACCCTACAATCCTAAATAAAATTTTTTTAGATCGGCCAAAAGATAAAGAAGTTACAGACTTGTATCATATTTAAGCGTGACACTCTGTATATGATATTCCAGAGTATGGCCAAATTTTTACCATGCATTTAACTCGTTAAACCCCCCAATGATGTTACAGAGCATGTTTTAATATTTTTAGGACTTATAATGAGGCTAGTGTGAAAAGTACAGGTACAGAATCCATAGTTTTAATCTTCTTTTCGTTTTATAATTTAGAACATGTAAAAACAAACTACAAAAACTTGATGTGACCTTTGATTAATAGTCCAGACGGTATCTGTTTGAAAGAGTCCATATTTGAGTGAATCATATATCCGCGGAGATTTTTGGCTTTTTGGCTTTCAAATATCACTAGAAATGAAAATTTTTATATGCGCATAAAAAAAAATGTGGGCTTAACTTTTGACGGCACAATATGTTAAAAAAATTCGAAAAATGTCATATTTTTCTTCCTATTTAATTATGTATCTTTTCAAGAGCTCATTTTAGGCGAAAATGGTGGAGGAAAAAAATGTTTGTAATTAAATTTTACAAAATATGACTAGTTACAAAACGAATGAATCATGATTATTATTGTACAAATCGAAAAAATCGCCAAAATTGGGGTTAAAAACTACTTTTTGGAAATTTTTTTTGGGGTCTTTAAATTGGGTATAGGTCCTTCATACTTGGCTCAAGGAAAATTCATGTTATGTAGAATCATCACTCCAAATTTCATCAAAATTAGTTCTATAGATTTTGCATAATAATTTGGCTATCCAGATTTTGAAAAAAAAATTGCAAATTTTCAAAATTTTGCACAGAAAAAACCAAAGCCCTTAGATGAAATTTTAATCACATACAGAAGGGCTCTCAAGTTTTCAAACGCTTTTGGAAAAATTCGAATCCCTCAATTACGAGAGCTGGGGCGCTTGTTTAAACATTGGTTGAAGTTTTGTACTATAATTTTGTAGTTTTGTAATATAATGAGTTAATTTCTCATTTCCTTATAATTTAAACAGTAAATAATATTAAAATTATACTTAAATCACAAACGAAATGATAATTAAATTAATAATTAATGAATTAATTAATTGATTAATTAATTACTAATTTTCGACATATTTTGAAAGTAATTGTTGTTTAAATCATTTTAGAATATTTAAATAAATTTGTTTTTGATCTTTGATATACAGTATATAAGTTTATGCACTTACCTTTGATACAATAAAAAAATAAAGTTGATAATTAAAGGAAGTTTAAAGATAAATAATTATCGGACTGTTGGAAGACCAATAATTATTAACGATAGGCATTTGAAAATACGCTTATTATTTTTTAAATCGCGTGACATCGATTTAAAAAAAAATCTTCAAAATCGAACCTCTAGAACAAGGGTCGGCAACTGGCGGACCGCGGTCCAGGTCCGGACCGCGGATGGTAAAATACTGGACTGCCAAAAATTTTTTGGAAGTATAAATTACTCAAAAAAATTATTTAAAAAATGTTTTTTACATTTAAGTGCCAATCTTATAATGTTTTCTAGTATGTAATATAAGGACCCTGTATAACGTCTATTTTTATTTTTTAGTATAAAGACATATCTAATATAACATATAATGTAACATCAGCATTCCTGTCGCATCATCTTATTCCAGAAATGCTGATGCATATAATTTATTCCTATTTAAAGCCGCTAGATCTTATGTACAGCACAGTATAGTTTTTGCTTCATGTCTGTCAACTTACGTTGGTGCTAATAAAAAGTTATAAACATCCAGACCTATAATTTTATTAGTATTTTACAATTGTGTGAGTGTTTTGAGTTCTTAATTAGTAAGCAGATTAAATTTGAGTCCAAATTAAAATAAAAAAATAAGAAATATGAATTTTTTTTCTGGACCTCGTTAAAAATTTTCAAAAGTATCCGGACCCCACCTAAAATTACTTGCCGACCCCTGCTCTAGAAGCTGATATATTAAAAATTTTTTAGCGCGTCCCGGTTTTGAACTCGCCGATTCAATTTCGAGCAGGCCGAAGCGGCCGCGCTCTGCTTCCCCCACCACCACCACCCGTACGAACTTCTTGAATTTTCTCGCTTGCATAAATAACTTTAAACGCGTTTTAAAGTAGGTTACCAATGAAGAAAAGTATTGCAAACTTAGACCTGGTAAGTACTCGGAATACCAAATGTTTTTTTCGAAAAATTAACCCGGATGTCTCTGTACATTTACTGTAAATGACGGTTAACTTTGATCGGCTATAACTACGTAACTAAATGACCAATCGATCTGTTTTTTTTTTAAAGAAGCGTCTTTCCAATAACTTTTAAATCCTGCTTTAAAAATTTTGATTTGATTGAATATTCGCAAAGTTTAAACTAATTGTTTAAAAGTACAAAAATTCTACCAATGTTTAAACAAGCGCAAGAGCTCTCCTAATTGACCGATTCGAATTTTTCAAAAAAAGTTTGAAAGCTTGAGAGCCCTTCTATATGTGATTAAATTTTCAAGTATCTAAGGGCCTTGGTTTTCGCTGTGCAAAATTTTGAAAATTTGCAAATTTTTTTTCAAAATCTGGATTGCAAAATCTCTCGAACCGATTTTGATGAAATTTGGTGTGATGATTCTACATAACATGAATTTTCTTGAGCCAAGTATGAAGGTCCTATACCCAATTTAAAGACCCCAAAAAAAATTTCCTAAAAAGTAATGTTTTTTAACCCCATTTTTGGCGATTTTTTCGATTTTTACAATAATAATCATGATTTATTCGATTTGTAACTAGTCATATTTTGTAAAATTTAATTACATTTTTTTCCTCTTCCATTTTCGCCTAAAATCAACTCTTGAAAAGATACATAATTAAATAGGAAGAAAAATATGACATTTTTTGAATTTTTTTTAACATACTGTGCCGCCAAAAGTTACGCCCACGTTTTTTTTTTTGCGAGATTAGAAAAATTTTCATTTCTAGTGATATTTGAAAGCCAAAAAGCCAAAAATCTCCATAGATATACGATTCACCCAAACCAAAACAGATACCGCTTAGTCTATAAGTAGTTATGTAAACCAGGTGTTTTCGATGCTGCTACAAAATAATGAGTAATAATAGTAAGCAGTGTAATAATTACCTAATTTAATTTTCAGTCTATAGATCACTTTTAACTGTAATATGGTAAAATACATAGCGCTGAAAAATATTTGTAATAAAACGTGTACTTTTTATTTTATGTTGACTTATTCTGATTTAAATTTATTTGTATTTAATGACTATTTAGCTCTTGCCGTCCGCGTCCACCATTGACTCCAAGAAAATCTGGTCACCCTAGTATATAACCGAGCAAATACAATAAAATACCCAAATATTTTCGCTATATACGGTACAAAACAATTATTAAAATTATGGACCCTCTTACAAAATTTTGTAGGGTATTTCTGTCAATTTTGTCTTTATCAACGTAAATTTCGTAAATTTATTAGCAAACATACAATGATTGACGTTGACGTTATTCGATTTATAATACTAATGACGTCACTCATCAGTTCAAGATCGGTCCAGTTTACAATCGTCCGCTTAGGTGACGTCACCGTCCGTCCCCACCCCATTCATTGCAATGTGATTGTTGTGAAGTGCGTGTGGACTGTGGACGACAAAAATATTTAAAAAACACATTCCGTAATAAAAAAAAATGTAAAGCGGTGACTTTTGACCTCTTAAATATTCAATCAGCGCGTTATGAATATTTCATAAACAGCCGTGGTGTTGCGTTTTTTAGTTTAGCGTAAAATGGACAATCGAGTGGTGAAAAGTTAGGTTATCTGATTGGTTTACCCCGCATTCCGGACAAAATTGGGAACATTTTGGGTAAGTAGCACTGTGACCGTTTGGATTGAACGATATTAGGGGCTGCTTCTTTCATCATTTGTGCGAGCGGAATGCTTTGTTTCTAAAATGTTCCATTTTAAAATACATATTCGGATTTGGTGCGCCTGAGTACCTATGTTTGCTCATTATAGGTAGGTGACTGGGATACAGTTTTACCCCAAAAAGCCTAATCGGTGATTGG